AACCCCAAAACCCCAAAACCCCATGAAGGTTAATTAGAGATCAATTAGTTAAAAGAGCATTAATTATTTAGGATAAATTTCTTAGTAAATTAAATTGTTTTAATGAAGAAATACCATCCAATGATAGAAACAAATCATAAAAATCAGTAGAAAGACACAAATATTATTTGGAATAGGTTGAAGAGAGCTTAAACTCAGCATCACCTGTCTAATAAGGATGCTTACAAGAGTCAGTTAATGATATACGAGGATAAGCACTTACAATTGGAAGCATATACTCCAAGAGATCAGCTACTATCTGGCAATGGTTCCTCAACAACTAAAGCAAAAGGCTCATTGCTTTAATAAAAGCCATCCACAGGTTCATAAACAGGCAAAAATACTGCTAACATGCTACCTTTTGAATAGTTTCATCTTGAGGATGAAATTAAGCCATTAACTGCTAGACTAAAGAGATCTTACTTCAATATAGCAACTATGGATTAGGTTAATTTGCATGACACCCTCAGAAAACAAATGACTGAATTCGAACTATCAAAACCATAAACTTGCTAAAAGGATAAAAATCCTCAACAAGATTACTAGGCAACAGAGAATCAAGTTGAGAAGCAACTTTAGTATCTAGGGGATGGCTAAATTCAGAAATTTTTATCTAAAAAATTCCTAAAACTTGATAAGCGAACGCTTGTATAAAATAAAAATAAGAAAATGAAAAGAGTAGCAAGTCAAACTAATGTAGACTAGATGAGTAAATTCTAAGAGTTGTAGCAGAATCAAAACTAGATTTTATAAAAGAACATGTCTCAGCAAAATATGTATTACTCAACAAGAGACCATATGATAAGTGAGGTGATCTAAACTAAGACAGACTAAGAGATTTAAGATTAGAATGAACTCAAAAAAACTAGATTACTGATTCAGCAAAATCAGTATTTGCTTGAGTAGTTCAAAAAAGATTTGAATCTTAATCAAATATTTTCAGTTAATGAAAGCAGAAGAAGCCCTAACATACAGTTTCTCAAAGAAAGCAATGGATTTAATCAATCTGAAGATATGAATGGGAAGAAATGGATTAATCAGTAATAAGAACCTAAATCAGTGGGTCAGCAATTGTAGTAGTACTTTTAATAAAACGATATTGGATACAGTAGCTCAAGAATAGTTAATCCATAAGTTGATCTAGGATTTATGCCAAGACCAAAATACATTACAACTCTAGATAAAAATATAAAGAAAATCAAAGCCTTAAAAACACCTAAGAATAATTATATGGGAATAAAAATTGATAAAGACTTTGTAGAAGCAAAAGAGATTTTGAAAAAATCAGATTCAAGTGTAAAGTTAAGGTTTAATAAAAAAACTTTAAGGTTAGAGGAGATACCAATAGATGTTTCAGAAGCAGATAAGAATTTAAAAAGAAGAATGAGCAAAAGAGTAATGCCCTTACTCCCTGAGGCAACTGCCTAGCCAGAAAAAGAGATAGTAAGTGGTAGTACTGAATTATCAGTCTAACTTTTCCATTCTAAACTAAGAAAAGGTCTACTTAGAAAGCTAGGAATATAAATTAAAGAAGAGATTTAAAGCAGAGAGGAAAGCCATTAATTAATGGTTGAGTAAAAAAGAAGCTAAAGAGTACAAATAGAAAACAGAATTGAAGAGTTCAAGCAGGAGTCTGAAGAGGACTCTTTCCAGAGTGAATCAGATTTGGAAACTGCCAGGAATACCAGAGAATCTAAAAAGAGAAGGAAAACTATATTTCCAAGTATTGTTAATCAGGCCAAGAGCCTCAAGGAGCAACAAGAGGAACGAAATGACTAGTATAACAAACTGATGACAAATCTAATTAACCTTGAGCAGTAGCAAACTAGAAAAAATGATGTTACATAGACACCTAAATCTGAGTTAAACATTCCAAATTTTATGAGAAATGCTCTCAGGCATAAGTTAGAACAGATAAGTGTAAATATCATGAAAGACACAGTCGAGAGTGTGATAGGAAAGCTTCAGCAAAAGCAAGATCATTTTGAGAAATTAAATTCTCTATGCTAGATCATAAATACTTGTGAGAGAAATATTGAAAGTGAAAATAACAGAAAAGATTCAACACAGAGAGTGATTATGAAAACTGAATTCATTCAAAAGCTAAATGAGAACATAGAATCAAAACTTATTGATCTGATCAATAACAAAATTGAGGAGAGGAACTATATGAAGCTGGTATATGATATGAATAATACACCTGAAGACGTAATATAGTCCTGATGTGATGTAGATGGCTCATTCTTATTTTTAACAATTTTATTTAGTAATGAGACTTTAAAACTTAGAGTTTAGCGTTATCAAGTAAAGTCGAATTATTTAAATAATCATCCCATTCATTCCAGATAGTCTTTGAACTATTTCTTTGCCTTCATCTTCATTTTTTTCTTTGGAGTTGGGAGACTGGGTCTAAGTTTTATTAGGGTACTAAACTTCCTTTTGGTGCATTCTTTATTTAAACTTCTATATCCTCTAGAATTTCAGTAGTCATTTTAATCTATTTTTTAACTTTGTCATTCTCATTTACCTTTGGAGTAGTATGAGACACGTAGGGTAGAAGCTATAATTAGTTATAATCTTATAATTATATTTATGAATTTTTTAAAGAAATGATTGACTAATGATTACTTACCTTAAAGTTGGCCAGATCGGGAACATTAAAGAAAGGAACCTTTTCAATTTAGAAAATGAAGTTACCTTTCTTGCTGATTCTACCGAAAGGCCTGTCTGAATTTCTTTCCATTTCCCTTATCTTAATAGCACCTTTATAACCCTTTAACTTTTGCTGTTGTTTGATATGATAAGGAATAGCGTGAGGATTCTTGTTTCTACTTGGTCTTCCAAGTTTATAAGAGTAGACTCCTAATCTCTTACTGAAAGCTGAAAATCCAAAAATTTAGTTGTATAGAAGAGAATTCATTCCTTAGGTGGCAAGGATTGAATTGCTCTAAACTAAGGAAAATGACTATGGTCTCATCATCACAGAGGACATTTATTTTAGCATTTACATCATCTTTATAAAATATTATAATTCACACAATAAATGCTATAATTTACAATTAGTAAACGAAAGATGATTAATAAGAGATAATTCGATTATAAAATATATTGAATCATAATACCCCCTTTCACAATCAATTCAATTAGTTCCATTAATAGTTCATTCATTGTTACTATTCATTCTATTTCTATTCCTCATAATAGAATACTACATCATTATTATTTTATTTCGATTCCTATTCCATTTTGACTTCTTCTTTTTGTTCGTCATTATGCTCATCCTTCTTTGGCTTCTAGAAATCCATATTTATCTCATCAATTATGCTATGGAATCTCTTCATCTACTCTTCTCTATCTCTTCTTTCTTATTCCAACAAATTTTACCTCTCATCCTCGACTGAAAAGTTTGATTAAAATGATTATCTCATATCAATATCCACATCTTACATTTCATTCATTATGCTATCTATAAGTAAGAGATGCTTATTTATGTCAAGAGGATCATTATATTGTATTTCAAACTATAGGGGTTAGTCATCATCATCTAATTCATTTAATTTCACCTAATCTTGATAGGTGTTTATTTTAAGTTCTTCAAATAGTTATTAAGATACCCCTTTATTTTCTTCTAAATTTTCTTCATTATCCTCTTCAATTACAACAGACTCCTATAATTAATCATCATCCATCATCATTTCATGCTAATGAGCAGCTGTATCATCGATATAATAAGATTGGGCTAGACTCTAAGAATACACCTAATTGATTATCTCTATTACTGCAATTATCTAATCACCGAATCTTTCATTGGTTAATGGATCGATTAAATGCATATTGAGGGTATATAATCTTTCCTCAAAATCTAAAGGAATAGTCAAACTATGAACTATTTCATAAGATTCTCCTGGCTGTAAAATTTTTTCCTAGACAATGCTTTAATTTTTTTCTTATTCAGTTATATTTTCAGAGTTGTTTTTAAGGTAAGGATATTATGGCCATGCCTTTTTAGATTTATTTTTTATTTACCATCTAAGATAAATTTCCTAACCAGTTTTGGTTTTCGTGATGAAATCTTGAAGTGGTTTAACTTAAGCCATACTATTTTTGAATTGATAAATCACCTATATTTCTTGCTTTTATTCTTCTATGACCTTAGTAACTTGTTATCTATCCTCGGTAAATTTATCATCTACTCTTTACTATTCCTATTAAACTTAATTTTCTACTATCTCATCAATAATCTCATTGATATTTTATAAATAATCAGAATTTCTCTCCTAATCTTTTCCCTACTCTAATTTTTTATCCTACAATTCATCTTCAATTTTATACTCATATAATTGGTCTTATTACATCATTTTTGAAGATAAATTTTCTAACTTGATCTCAATCTCATCATCTAAATTATATTACGATAATTACAACTCAGATTTCAAGAATAGATTCGACTCTTCTCCTTATCTTGAAAATTCTTACATCTATGATTCACTTAGTGAGTCTCTTCTTGAGTTTAGTTAAGATTGGCGGAGAATTTCCTAGCATACTGAATTTTAAATCTGTGATCTTATTAGCTACCTAAGTTGCTACTCCATTTACACTGGCAAAAGTTTCTTTTATTATTGATTGGCTTTCGTATTTCTTAATTTCTTTCTCAGTTACTTTTCTTTTTACCTGAGTTATTTTATTAGATTCTTATAGTCCTCTATACTTAATTATTTAGCTATATCTTCAATGAAAAGTTTTAAAGTCTTTTTATTCTTTTTTTCCCTGTAAATTAAACAATCATGAAGATCCGAATCATTAGAAATTGTGATTTTTTCATCCTCACTGTCAATGTAAAAATATTGATACTCTTAAGTTTGCTACTATTCACTCTTCAATATTTAAAAGAAGTTCAATTCACTTATTTTTTACGGGCTTTATGATAATTTGGAGGAATTCAAGCGATAATTCTCTGTTACAATACTTTAAAGTTGTTTGAAATCCTGAGGCAAAGATGTTAAAGAAAAAGGTTATTGATCAAATTTGATAAATTGCATTTTATTCAGAAATTTATAATTGCTCATTAAATAAATGCGAGTTTAATAATATATTTGCAAACTCTAGAAATGAGATCAATGTATTAATAATTTAATAAAATGTGGCACAAATCGGAGTTGGGGTTTTGGGGTTTTGGGGTTTTGGGG